TTTGTCTACATGCGTAGAGGTACATATGTATGTTTGTATACATACATACATACATACATACATACATACATACATACATACATACATACATACATACATACATACATACATACATACATACATACATACATGTACGTATGCATGCATATGGAGGTTTGTATATTGTGTGTATGTGTACATAGATGTATGTGTATATATATATATAATATGTACATACATACATACAATTACATATATAAGGACGGGACTAGAAGGGATAATCCTAAGTTTGGGGGTTTAACAGCACCTGTGGGCCATCTTGACACCTCTTCAGCATTTACGCAGCCGCCAGTCCGCATCGAATTCCTGGCTTCCTTGAATGATAACTTCAGGAGTAAAGCCAGTTAAGACGGTTAAGCTTCAGGGTTTATGGCTTGGTTCAGGGTTGATTTATTCTTCGCACAGTCAGAAGCCGTCCCCTTTCTTAAACTATGCAATGTATAGGGGGCCTGAATCATGGATTTCTGTGCCATATTATCCGACGACTAACTTGAGGACCCTGAAGAAGAAATTGATAGCCATACAATACAGTTTCTATAGTACCACCGGGTTGGCGCCAAAGTGCTTGATTTAAGCCACCAAGCCCGGCGATTTGCCTTTGAACATGCCGTACCAGGTTGGACATGTTAGGACTTCGGAACTGAGGGTTTTTTACGGTTTTGGGGTGTAGGGCCAAGCAGTTGGCCCGGTGATGTGGGTCCCTAATAATTAGAATAGGCTTTTGGGGTTGCGATACTATCATCATAATGTATTTTTCCCCAAAGCCTTATTCTAATTATTTAGGGCTCCTAGACCCTTAACCCTTGTAGTAGCCCTTATAGAGCCCTTTAAAGGAACCCTAAAACCCTACTGTATTCTAATTCTTATAAAGCCCCTATAGTAGTTTTTGCAGGGCGGAGGGCCCAGGGTTAACGACTTCCGCTGCGGCTGAACCGCCGGAGGAGATGCTTGGGGTTTAGGGCTTAGGTTTAGGGTATGCTTCTGGAGCCAAGTCGCAGATGCGCCATTGTGGTCCTGCGAGTTCAATTAGAATACAGCAGGGTTTAGGGTTCCTTCAAAGGACTCTATAAGGGGTGTATTTTACTTTAATCCTAAAAAGGGACCCCCTCCCACAAAAAAATAGTGTTGATAATTATTTAGGCCATTAACTGCGAGCGAGCCCTAGACACTGCAATCTACCTTTTGTTCTTCTTATCTGGCTAACCTAGTCCGTAGACACATCAATGACAAGCGTAATCTCGTCGAGAAAACAAGATGGACAGCGATCCGAAAACGCCAGGACAAAAATAAAATACAGCATTTCAAGCAGTCCGAAAGGAGTAACCATCATCATCATCACCACCATCATCATCATGAGCAGCAGCATCACAAGAATAACGCCTATATGCGAGATGAACAGATCCTAGCATGTAATCCCTCTTCTGAAATATTTGTAACTAGGTTGCAGGTAGGATCCTGCAGCTGAACAAGTACTACCTGCTTTCAGGCTTCGACTTCGGGGAAGTCCCGGATCCAGGGTGCATCCTCAGAGGGCTCAGGTGTAGCCTGATCCTGGTGTGCTGCATGAAGACAATGAAACTCGTACTCTACACCCCTAAACCCTAAACCCTAAACCCTAAACCCTAAACCCTAAACCCTAAACCCTAAACCCTACATGCCAGCTGCAGGGAAGTTCAGGGCTTAAAGGAGGCTTGCGTGCAAGTCTCCAAAGACCCTCAACCCCGGAACTAGACTGCTGCATCTCCGGACCCTAAACTACAGCACATCCTAAGCCGCAAGCTTTAAGGTTTGGGTTTGAGGAGCGCGCTTGTCCAGCGAGTTCGAGACAGGAGCGAAAGAACTGCCAAGTCTGGGGCCCCACTGCGCTGGAATTAGGGGCCTTCATAATGAGAATGGGGTNNGGGGGGGGGGGGGGGGGGTAGTAGTAGTACTCAGGAACCCTAACTAAAGATAGGGCCAGTAAGTATTCAGGCCTTTCAGTTACCACACGTCGGCGCAGCTCCAGAAATATTGATCCCCATTCGGGCTAGCCTTAGCCGTAAATCCCAAACTCCCAATCATAAATCCTAAACCCTACTATCGGGGCCGGAAGAACTATGTACACAGTATAATTAGTATCGCCAATTGCTATTCTAAAACATCACAGAACCACATAGAACCCTTGTAGATCTCTTCTACTTTCCCGATTCCTTAATAAATGAACCTCTTAACGGAACCCTCAAACCCCTTTGACCCCCCCGCCCCACCCCCTCAGCCCTAAACCCTAAATCCTAAACCCTAAATCCTACACCCTAAACCCTAAACCCTAAACCCTAAATCCTAAACCCTAAATCCTAAACCCTAAACCCTAAACCCAGCAAGTCCAGCGACTCAGCGTCAAACGGCCGCCAGCCCTCCGACAAGAGCTCCCTGAGCCTCTGGGGGGGGGGGGGGGGGGGTTGCTAGAAGGGCTCTATAAGCAGGGCTTAGGGTTTAGGGTTTAGGGTTTAGGGTGTAGGGTTTAGGGTTTAGGGTTTAGGGTTTATTAGGGTTTAGGGTTTAGGGTTTAGGGTTTGGGGTTTAGGGTTTAGGGTTTAATATATATATAT